GCATCCGCATACCAGTTTCTATTAATTTTCTGAGTAATGACTTTCTTTTGTAAAAGCGATCTAGTTAGCATGATTTTTTATTTTATTTTTTTTTTAGGAAAGAGAAACTTTTTTTCTTCAAGTCCAACTGGACTTTGTTGCCTTACTAAAACTGTGTGTTTTTCAGTGGCCCGTAGGATTTTTTCTTTTTTTTAACCGAATTGAGTGCTTTGGAAAGAGACTGGTTGGCCAGGTTAGAATTCAGGGCCCGCGAGCGGTGCGGCGTTCCTGTTGTAGAGCGACCCCTTCTAAATGCGGGGCATAAATCACTCCGCCCTGCCAGCGCAGCCCCGCTGCGGAGGCTGCCAAGACCCGAGGCGGACGTGCCAGCCGCGGCAGCAGGCTTGATTTAGTTGTGGATCTCCTTACCGGTAACCCAAGTGGAACGACTCCTGTTTCACGTGGCACCTGAGGATGGACAGTGCTTAACTTGACTTTGGAAAGTTTAGTCTTAACTTTATTTTGCCCGCCTTTAAGCAGTCGGTTTTGACTTTTACTCACGCATGTTACTTCGATATTTAACACGGTGCAGTCAGTATTCTGCTTTAGTCTTGTGGATGATTTGCTTTCCACCATCACTTACCACTTTCCCCCGTAGACAGGTGTATTGTGCACACCTGCTGTGTATAAGGTACTGGGCATCAAAGCACTTGGGTTGTAGCGGTAAAAAAAACAAGACATGTTGCCACACATGTTTATATTTTTTTCAGACAAGAACAGCATTAAACAGCCATTTAAATAATTATTTTATTGCAGTTTTATTTTGTGTTGCGGAAGAGAAAGGATTAGGATTAAGGTTATAAGAGCGTGTAACCGGAGGACCTGGTCTCCTTTGGGGAGTCAGAGGCAATGGGGAGAGGGAATTATGCCAGGCAGAGCACATTCTGTGAAGGCTCTGAGTCGGAGGTAAGGATTTGAAAGAATGCCTGTATGGCCTGAGCAGCCAGAGACGGAGGATGGCCCTCCATCATCATGTAGGCCTCTTCGGTCTTATAAGAAGGTCAGGACAATGGAGAATGAAATTAAGTTTGGATTTTTGAAAGATCTGCCTAGTACAGTGTGGGGAGTGGAGATTGCGGGCAGGAGGCAAGAGCAGTAGGAAGCCATTCAATAGTTCAGGTAAAAATAACCATTATTGTGTTTGGGAATTGATGGTGATTGTAAAAGTTGAAATGAGTGGATCCTAGTAGCTTTCAGCTGGTTAAGGGAGTCTAGTTATATTCAGATGAAAAGTTAACGAAAACTTTGCTAACGTATAAGGCTTAGGTGGCAGTGGGTACAGTAAGATCTTTATCAGTTCTTTATACGAATAATTGGCCGTGTATTTACTATATTTAGAAAAAACAGCTGGTAGTTAAGCCACATGATTAAAAAGTAAACGAATTAAGGCCTGTAATTTCCTAAGGACATCTAAGTGCAATACAGGTATAAGTTGATTAATCTTGTCATCTTTTTAAAATAATGATAATAAAAGCTAACATGTATAGAGTGCTTATTACTTGCCAGGCACTGCTCTAAGATTTTTCCATGTAGTAAACTTCTTTTACTTAATCCTCACAACAACTCTATAAAATGGACAGTGTTATTAACTCTATTTTGCAGTTGAAGAAACTGAAGCATAGAGAGGTTACAGTAACTTGATAAAGTTGATCGGTGGCAAAGCCAAAATTCAAACCAATTAGCTTTAGAGACTGTATTCTTAACCAGTAGGCAGTACGGCTTCTCTAAAGATAGGATATGAGCAGGTGATGTGTTACTGAATTTCTAGTGGAGAAACTGAGGCACACATTTAATTCAGCATTTCACTTATAGCGACACTCTGAGTTACAGTGGATCTTTAAGTAGTAGTTGGAATACCTAACTCCTGCTGTGCAACCAGGCCTCACTGTTTTTGTAGTTTGCCAAGTGGACATCACATAATAGATGCTTGGTTCCT